TTACGGTAAATATTTTATTTTACATTCCAATCAAAAGAAAGCCTTAGAAGACGATTATTTCGAAGTTTCTAAAGTTTTATCTTAAAATGCAAACGAGAAAAAGAATTACAAAATCGTTTTCATAAAGTGTGAACAACCTTCTGTATTAGCCCTGTCCCCGTTTGGGTAGATGGCCCGGGACATGGTATGGGTGAAAAGAATGTCCGTTGTGACCCTGCTCCGGTTCGAGAGAAAGTTCCGGTGAAAGATGTGTAAACATATCAAATTTCATGATTTTCCATATACTCTCGCCTCGAACCTTATAAGTTTTAACCCTTTAACGGGCACACAGCTAAAATACAATTTTTTGTGATAAAGTACTTGATATAATGTAATGCTCTCATCCTCTATAAATGTTATTTAGTCACAAAAAAAAAAAAACTTGATCGAGGGTTTTTTTCCCCTGGTTGGTGTCTGGACGTTATAGCCGCTGCGCACGTAAGACATTTAACTTACTTTTCAGGACATAAATAATGAATCATATAACATTAAACTCTTTTATGAAAAATTAACATTTATGCTGATAACTATTTCAATAACAATTAAATACAAAGCATAAGTGTAATTAAGTAATAATAGAATAATTGTGCAACTTAGAATACTTACTTAGAATATATATAGAATACTTAGAATATACATTGAAATTGGTATATATCCACATTTTACATTGTATTTAATTTTATTATAAAAACTTAGAAATAAATTAATATTTTTGAGAAAAATTAGTTATTTCACAAATTTGATGAGCTATTTACTGTGAAACTTTATAATATGCAAACGTTTTCTCCGATCAGAAAAGCTGTAATGAAAATTTTCGAACCCGAGAATCCTGTACCACATATTGTAAGCAAAGTTTGTTCATATTTCCGACCCCCAACATTCTCACATGGTTCTAAGTGCTCTCTCTCGAGTGGAAGAAAAGTGAAAATTTCAAGGTTATTTTTCTTTTCTATGTGGGCAGTGGATACAGCCTCTATCCGCACATATAAAAGCTTTCCAAAAACATAAATAAAACCTTATTTTTTTAATTGCACATTTGCTTAATTCATTCAGATGAGAGAAAAGTATACTTAAGACATGTCGAAATTTTTTTCACATATCAGAAATTATATTTATTGTAATCAAAGTACAATTTGTAGACTTACACCGAGAAAAACTGTTTTTAGCTACCCATCAGAGGACATGAAACACAAAAAAAAGGTATCGTGCTGCCATCCGTATTAATTTTTATGCGTTTTAGCTTCAATTAGCGCATATGGATAGACTAAATATCCATCACCCGCTTGGAGAAAAACTTTTTTAATATGTGGCTAGACCTATTAGCCACTGCTTGCTAAAGAGTTAAGCAAAAGATGAGAAACTGTGCAAAAATTTACAAACGAATCTAAAACAGACTTTGTTGTCATTGTTATTTTTTATAGCACCAGATCAACGGTGTCAGATTATGATCCACGAAATTAATCGAGGCAAAGTGCTCGTCTGTCATTAGCCACAGATTTGAGCACCATCCAAGTGACAGAGCGATTACGCTTGGTTCCTGCATAATTTTGTTGGAGAGGATCCTAGGGAGTGGTCAGGGGCCTAACGCCTCATTTCTTCTTCTACCAAACTCTCGAGAAGACTGGCAGCGTGAAGAACATTCAAACTAAACATGCCGCTCAAGCACTATAAATTCACAAACATTGATGCCTTCTCCGGAATTTGAACCCAGACCCTACGTGACAACAATTAGCGTTACTAACCCCTATAGGATGATCCAAACAAGTTTTAGATCCTAATAAGGTAGGAGTTTTGTTATTTTTAAGCTAGACTAAATCAAACTTTCCGAGATTTATAGCAAAAAATTCATCATTCTCGTAAGAAGTTATTTGTCTTTTCTCTTATATTTTTCAGTCATGTAAAGTACAATGCTGTGTAAGCAACAACGTAAATTTTAAGCAGATAGCAATGAAACTGCAGAAAATTGGTTTTTGCGATCAATACAATGAACACGCAATTCAGTAGAAATGCAGTAGGCGACGTGAGTGTATGCAAAATATGTACGGTCGGCGCGCGCTGATCAAGACTACAATAAGAGGAAGAACGAAGGCGCAATTAAAGACACTCGCTGCAAGTGCAAATGAGTTCTTTCTTAAACTATGGTTAAAAAGGATAACTTGGATGACTAGATGCGTGGAAAAGGGACCCGAAAGCTGGTGGAGGGGCGTAGTTTGACCAGTGTAGCTGAAGAGTTCGAAATCAACAAAAGTGTCATTTCGCGTGGTTGGAAAGCCTTCCAAACCATAGGTACAGATGTTAGAAAGATTAGTGATGGCCTCTCAAGAAAAACCACAGCAGTGGATGACCGATATATCATCCTGCAGGCGAAAAGAGCCAGCAAACTGTGTACAGTGAGTGAGTGAGTGTAGGGTTTTATGGCGCAAGAGCCAATTTTGGCTATGCTGCGCCAAACATTTGTTTAAAAAAATTCTAAATGTTTTATAAAATATTTAAAAATAATGACAATACAGTTTTAAAAAGTTAAAATTTCAAATCACATAAAATCGTTTTCAAGTATTTAAAGAAAAAATTTGGTGGGGATTGCCCCACCAAGTCAGACTATATCTTAAAATAAAAACATAGAAAAAGACGGATGGAACATGTTAGTTTAAAACAAAGTTAGAGAATACAAGACATCAAAAAATTAGCTCTTATTTTTCTTGAATCGGGTTGGAGTTAACGTGCGTAAATAATTGTCAGGATTGTTGATAAAACATTTTTTTATGTGCGAATTTATCCGTAGGATCTGGTTCAAGTTCCTCCTCCACGTCATACATAAGCATGTCTTCGTCATCAGTAGTATATTCCATAGGTACATTCCATAGGTTCATGTGTACAGCAACAAGGTGACAAGTGTCGAGGTTTACTGTGGCCCTTCACAAAGGTGGCCTATTCGGTCCTGAACGCTGCATCCCTTTGAAAGTTGGCCATCAGTTGCACCTTTTAGAGTGGTGTACGGAGCACAAAACCTGTACATGTCATCAATGGAGTCGCGTCTTCTTTACGGATGAGAGTGGTTTCAGTGCCCCAAGGGATTCTCAACGCCAGATGATTTGAAGAGGACATCCCAGTAACATCACGGAAAATGCCATTACGGTGGTCCGGATGTCTGGAGAGGCATTATGCTCAACGGGTGGACTGAGCTCGACGTTTTCGACAAAAGCGCTGTAATCGCTATTGTCCTTTCCCATGTGTGTCTGTTCCGAACAGCTATCGGAGCAGACTTCGTTTTTATGGATGGCAATGCACAGATAATGTTCACTGGAAAATGAAGATATCACTCAAATGGAATGGCCAGCGTTCTCTTCTGATTTAAATCCCATAGAACTTGTGTGGGATGTTTTGGCGAGACGCCTTGCGGCATGACTACATCCTCCGGGGATGAAACAGATGCTGAATGAGGAATAGGCACTCTTGTCTCAAGGACCTGAGTAAGGAGAGCTGGTGCGAAGCAACTATTGCGGTAAGCGAAAGGTATATAAGGGTATAAGTAGTATAGGGGCATAAGGTAGTATAAGGGTATATATACAAAGGAACATCTGATGTTTGTTCTTCCTCTTGGACAGATAATCATGTGTAACGATAATAAGAGTTCAATTATAAGCATTTTTTGTTTGATTCCATACTATATGCATTGTATTCATTTTTGCCCAACTACGCTTTCGTCATCACTTTACAAAATGCTGTCTCTCATTTCTGAATTTCATGTCTCTCAGATGATTTCTCATGGAGTGATGGCAATAAAAATACCTGTTACTTAAGTTTTGCATAACAATATAATTTGTGAGAACAGAAGTCTTGAAACTTTTTGTAGATACTCCCATATATGTTCCATAAAAATGCGAAATAGATCTGAGTTAAGTAAAATTAAAAGATAGATCTGAGAGCTCTAGTTATTTTTTTAAAAAAAATCTTGATATTTAAAATATTCCATATTTTTTCCAGGTTGAGCTATAAAAATAATTATTAAAATCGACTAGGAAAAAGATTTTTAATACCTTATAAAAATTTTTAAAAACATAAAAAATGTTTAACTTTTGAAGTTATACTTCTTTCGGGACTTTAGAGAAATTGGATGAGGGTGAATTTTTGTGATGCGCGCACAAACCGTCACGGATGTGACGCAAAACCGTCACGGATGTGACGCAAAACCGTCACGGAAGTGACGCACACCGTCACGGATGGGAAATTGCTTTGTCTAGAAATATACAGAACGGGACAGATCATTGTAACCTTCAAAATTCTCAGTAAAATATTTCTATTCACTTCTCTGGAGAAGGGGAAACCCGGAGACCTCTTAATTTGCAGTCGAATACTTTAACACTGAGCGATACACCCCGTGTCAGTGAA